AAAAGGCCGTGGGGGCAGTGGGGGCTGTGAGAGTGGGGAAGGGACTGAGCTGCCACGACGGCTTTCAGAGCAGCAGGGCTGTTGCCATTGGGACCATCCCCTCTCCTCTCTGATCCACCCATCGAGCTCCTTTTGCCATTTTAGAGGTGTTTTCTGCTGCAGGGTTGAAGGCCCGAGAAGCCAACCTGCTGCTGGCTGTTTGTGCCAGATCGGTGAGCTAAAGCGGTGCATGGGATGGGCGGGTGGACACGGGTGGGTGCGTGGCAGGGCAGGAGGGTGCGATGCCACCCTGTTGTCCCCCCCCCCAGCACCGCTGCTTGGTCACAGCCTTGCACTGCAGCGGGGGTCCTGGTCCCTGTGAGTGGCAGGGCTGGGGACACCCAGGTCTGAGCCGATGAGGTTGGACGTCGCTGCCGTGGAGGTGGGTGTCCCAGAGCAGAAGGGTTGTGTTCCCCAAGCTCTGAGCATAGCCTTGGCTCCGGCCCCTTCCCCACAGTCAAGGCACAGGGCGGTTAAATCCTCTGCCACAGCCATGATAACAAATAACACTTTCCGAAGAAAGGGAGGAAGCAAGAAATCCCCGGCCATGTCGCGCGGTGTAACCTGTTGCCGGTCAGGGCAGACAGCTGCTCGCCTCCTTCCTGTGCAGTCAGATTTAGTTTGTTTGCCTTCTCCAAACCAAACAGTGTTGAAACTTGGGGGGCTGTCTGGAAAAATCTCCTCCCTTGCTTATAAAAGCTGCTTCCCGGCACAAGGTTTCCGGCATCCTGTTCCTTCCAAACATCGCTGGTGAGGGGTGGCGGGGGGATCCCAGAAATATTTGATACTTATAACCCAGCATCTGAGAGCTGTGTTTATCTGCCAGCTGCTCCCACCAGCTGGGTGGCCATGGCCATGTCTGCAGCTCCGCCACCGGCCAAGGGGACTGACACAGCCCCGGGCATTTCTCATCTCCTCTGCTTTAGCTGCTCTGCCCCACAGGTATGGCAGTGGCCTCAAGGGTCTGGTAGCTGCAACCTGCATGCCAGGTTCTGGTGAAGAGTCCTGGCAGACCCAGCAGCCCTTCCTCCCCGCATCCCCATCCTACCGATCATCACAGGGCTCCTCTGGGTTGTCTCTCTCCATTCGCCTCTGGCTGTGCTCTGCTCTGCTTCTGGTACCAACAGCATCCCAACAGCAGCTGGTTCAGGGCCCGAACATCTTCCCGTGCCCACTGTTCAGGTTCAAAAGGGTATGACAGACAAATCCTGGAGCAGTACCTGGCAGATGTATGTCCTCAGTGGTTTTTAATTCACAGTAAGAAGTAAATTGGGATAAAGTTAGCACAGATGGGAAGTAAGCCAAGCCACGCTGGACCGAATTCTGCATGCACTTCTCTGCTCCACCCCATTGAGCCCCTCACCCTTACAGCCAAGGGTGGCTTGGGCTCTGGGGAACACTCCTTGCCTGGTCCCTGTCTTGAATGGAGCTGGAGGGAGAAGCAGGATTTTCTTGGAGACCTTGAAACACAGTTTGACTATTCACAATTCGTGGCCTCACATGAGATGGGTACCACTATGATCTACCACGTGATGCTGAAGCAGAGCAATTGCTTGTATGAGCTCTTGGTTCCAAGAGAGCGGGTTGTAGCAATTCAAACCAGTGGGCAACAGGCAAAATTAAACTAGACAACAATATTTTGGGCTTTTTCTCTTGGTAAATACAGAAACAGATTTGCAGCTGTTTAGCTTGAGAAGTATTCAATCAGTGCTGTTTCCCACACAGACAATACTATGGTCCTTGAGGGGCCAGGCTGAATTCACACCAGAAAAAGCAGAGGTGAAGAGCTGAGTCTCCCGTGAGCCCCATGTCTTTGTGCGGCTGTATGGAAATGAGCGGTCACGGCTGCCAGCCCCACTGCACGCCACCGCCTTCTCAAGGGTGTTTTGTGCTCGTGGAGTTTGCTGCTACAGTGCCAGATCTCAGGAAATGATGAATTTACCGGTCACCCAGTGCCTCTGCCTTCAGCAAAATGACTCGAGTATGGAGCAATGCAAAGTAAGAGAGTGCTGGTCTTATTCTAGTCGAGGCCAGACAAAAGCTACTTCAGCCTCTGGTTAAAATCCTACTTTTTCTCTCTAAGCGCATTTACTGGAAAAGTGTCAGACACATGTAAAAATGTGCTTACAAATAGCACAGCAGTTCCCAGGAGTGAGTTCCTGTAGTACGGCCGCACAATTCCTGCCTATCCCTCCCATCACAGCAGGAGCTGGTTTGGGTATTCCCTTAACACACTGTCCTTACTGCAGAACTGAGCGGTGAAAGGGGCAGAAAAGGTTTCAGCAAAGCCTCACCTTCTTCCTCCCCTTTCCTGACTCAGGTAGTGGAAGCTCTGCAAGTCACCCTGCAAAGAGCCAGGTTTTGTAAAAATGAGGGATACACCACACTGCCCTGCTCTCTGAGCACCCACCCCTGTGCCCCTGTCAATACCACTCAACATTTTCCATCCTTTAGAGAAGACTTTGTGTCACGTTGTCCCTGTGGATTCTGTTGATCAGAAGAAAAGCTGAAGTTAAAAAAACATAGGCCACGTATGCAAAAGTACAGGTGCAGGAAGGAGCAGAGAGGTGGGAACTTGGAGCAAAAATTTGCTGCAGGGTCTGGCTGCCTGGGCAGCGATGGTGCTCGGTGCCGTGCAGAGGCTCTCGGTACAAACCTCAGCCCGGCTGCTGACTCAGCACATGGCCTCAGCCAAACTGCTCAACCTCCGTGCCCCTGGGGACCGGCCAGAGCCAGCGTCTCCCAGCCTGGAAGCCACCAACAACAGCAGGCAGCACCAGCAAGCCAGCCACAGAACTGGATTCAGGTCTAGTGGTGAACGGAGGCTGAAGTGCTTCACCCCTGCTTAGAGCAGAACTAAAAGGGTTACGTTCAGCCCTTCCTAGAAGCCACGAAATTGTTTGTTCTTTTGTGTCCAATGTTATGGTGGGAAATCGTAATGAAACGGGCAGTGCAAAGGGAGTGCCTGGAAGGGCAGCAGTCCCTTCTGCACTTTGCACAGCAGTGGTCCTGCATGGACTGCAGTGAGCTCTGCCAAAAAGCTGGGGCAGAAAGGGAAAGTGGGTAGTTATCTCCGCAGCCTGCTGCTGCGAGAGGAAACTGTCCCTTCTATCAATTGGTAACAAGGACTCTCGCTGAAATAGGAGTCCTTGCCACACCTCTGTTGCCTTCCTTGTAATCAAAAGCTCCATTCTTTCATAATAATCTCCATTTTAATCTAGTACAAAAAAGCATTTTACTCTTACAGATTTCATTAAACTGCCTGTTCCAGCTCTTGCAATACTGTGAACTTGACAACTCAAAATGTGCTGAAGTAGAAGCTAGGTAGAAAGGATCAATAACAATTTATCAGTAAAAGGCCAGCACAGGAGGAGCAAGAAGTTTCAATAAGACACAAGAAACTCAGCTTGAGGAAAGTACCATCATATCCTCTGTTCCAGGAATCAAACACGTGTTATTTCAAACTTAAACGCTGCAAAATGTTGCAAAACAAAACCCCCCTATTATTCTTTCAAACTAGTTTGAACTTCCTATGATTTAACAAAGATGTAATCTCATCCGTAAAGATCCCAGAGTTCCTTACGAGTATCTTAAAAAGTAGGAATGAATCATTTCCTTGTGTGACAATCAACTCTGCAATGTCAAGATCTTGGAAATGACAGCTGAACAGTTAAAGACAAGCACTCAAAAGAAAATAAAAGCATTTAATGCAAAACATTTTACTAAAAATTTTTACAGCAATTTCATATAAATGGAGTCTTCACTTAAAACAGGAAACCACCGATATAAATGTGTTGTTACAAAGCTGATTACAAAACTGTCTCCTCAACCACACAGAGAGGTAGGAAGGGTGCTTCTGTCATCTGAAAACACCCAAGATGAACTGAAAAGTAATGTTCAGGATCTAGCCTGCTACATCTAAGTGATGGTAACACACATATGTTTTTGGATTAAAACTTCACAGGCTGATGTATCTTTACCCCATAAGGCCTTTATTAAGCTTTGTAGTAATTTGTGGGTATGCAACGGAAACATGTGAGATGCCTGTCAGCTCTATTAGATGGTTTTCCCTAATGATGGGAAGACTGACGTTGAGGCAGACTACAGTGTGTGTTCCCCTGCAAGGAGTAGGCTTTAGGGATGGCTGGGAAAAAAAAAAGTTGTTTCTATTCCTGCTCAGTTGCTGCAGGCTGTACTTTCTGGGACCTGAGGGCAGGTTTGAAAGGGTGCACCCTGGTCCCTCTGGCTGCCCAGTGGCTCACGGAAGGCCAGCCACCGGGAGGAACAACTGCTGCAGCTACCCCAGGCTCCCCATCGAGATTCATCGCTTCCCAGGCTACCAGAGACTTAAACGGGTACAGAGAGAGCTCATTTTGGAGTGAGTAGGGCCCTATGGAGACTTGTTGAGAACGAGCAAAAGGCAGCTGGAAGGGAAGGGCAGGACAGGCTGAAGCCCTCTCCTCCCCTCCACAAAGCACTAGAGCAGCACAGTAATTCATTCCTTCATTTGGCAGACTTGGCTTGTCTGGAAACGACTACCTGTAAAAGGAGCTCTTTCACCAACGTAGCTGGTCACTGAAGTAGCATCCTGCAAGGCTGGACTCTGCCTGGTCTGCTGCCAGCCAAGCAGAGAAAGGCTCCAGCTAATCCCCAGCGGAGCTGGGCTGCCCGTTCCCCACTCAGCAAAACAACAACAAAAAGGCCTTCGAGGAAGATGCAGTGGGGGGAATGCAGCTCTCTAGAAAACAAAGCCACATTAACCAGCCTTAACAAAGCAACAGTTTTCTTCCCCAGTAGAAGGGCAGACTGGTGCCTTCCCTCCCCAGGACACACTGTGCTTCGGGCTCTTCAGGGACACGTGGGAGGCTGCCTATTCTTTTTTTTGCTGTGCTGCTCCAGTGCTAGGCTCCCCGCGCTGCTACCAGGAGCTGAAGTCCCCAAAGCCTGTGCTCTTTTTCTCTTTCTTCGCAGCTGTGCTGGTTGAGGGCCCATCATCTTCCACGCTGCGCTTCCTGGAGCCAAAAGGAAAACAACTCTCAGGACTATTTACTGTTCAGTGAGACCAGGGCAGCTGGATGCCTTTCCTCTCCCACCAACAGCTATACTGGAGCCAGCCCATCCCTTATCAATTAGAGAGGAGTGCAAGCTCCCTGCCAGCATGGGGACCACAGGGGGAGTGGGGATGGGGTCCTGTGGCATACCCAAAAAGAGGGAGGAGAGTGTGTCAGTCTGTGGGGATGGTTTGGGTCAGGCTTTGAACACTTCCAGGAACATGTTCGAAATCCAGCAAGTTCTCCAGGCCAGAGCTGAAGCTGTACTTTTTAGCACAGTCATGATGAAAATGTGAGCCACAAGTTCTCTCCCCGCCTTCTCACCTGCATTTGTGGCAGCAAAAGGATTTATGGGGAATTAGGTGTAAAGCTGCTGGGCAAGTTTTTCAGATCCTTTCCTGTTTCTTGAGCACAGCCTGTTGCACTCACTGCTGCTATACTGAGTCTCTCTTGAGCAGAGTTTGCAACCTCATGGAAACACTATGCAGCCAGCTCACGTACTGTGGTTTTATTGTCAGATATCAGTAGCCGATAGGGAGAACCGAGAACCCCGAACCTGCCAAAGGGCTGCTATGGACCAGACTCCCAGTTGCAAGGCAGGCTGCAATGAGTGAAGGACTAGGGGAGAAAAGTCCTTTCTATACTACTTGGCGTCTTCCACAGAGCCACAAACTCTGCCTGGGTTTCCTCTGCAAATACAGTGCAGAATGCCAGCAGTCTTAAGCTGAACATAATATTTTAAGGGACAAGCAGTATTTTGTAACTGAAACATTTTACTGACACACCAAGCTGACCTACATGGGCTAACATTTTTGTTCTCGCAGTTATGCAAATGCCTGTAAGTTACAGAGGCACACACAAGCTGACTAAATAGCTGTCCAGATCTGTGTATGCATAAATATACACCTTAATGCAGCAGACAGACAACAGCATTTTTGCAAATGCTTTTAGAGAAGTCTGCTAAAAATCAAGTGGAAGGCATATATTTTAATTTTTCCAAAACTCAGGCTAAGCTGTGGCTCAGGTGGGATTCTGTACTGTCCTTAGGAAAGCAAGTGATGCTGCCAATCCCAACGGGTGTACTAAGGGTGTCGCGAGAGGATGCTTTAGGACAAGGCTGTACAACCAGCCAGGTACCCTGGAGCTACTTGCCAGATGCCCTGTGCTCCCACAGCAAGCCTGGGAATCCGCTCCCCTTTCCAGTTATTTCAGTTGCGCTGGTCCAACTGTTTGTGTGGCTGATCAGGGAACCAGATCAGCAGGCAGACTGATACAGGTTTAAAGCAACTACTTTGTGCAGGGGAGAAGCTGCTAAAAGAGAAATATCTGTGGGACCGTGGCCTTCAGAAATAGCTGCAGAGGAAGATAAAAGATAGTGTAGGAAGTAACACAGTACAGTTCAGTATAGAAGTACAGTACAGAAGCAGAGGGAACTCCTGACTAGTAGGACTGCATGAAGGTGTCTTTGTTGCTGGCGCACAAACCAAACACCTGAGCAATGGCACTGGACAGAGTCAGCGTCCAGCAGAAAAGGCAACTAAAACACTCAACAAAGATCAGATCGGCAGGGAACTCACGCTGCAGCCATGTTAATGTATTTTCCAATCCCCTGCCGGTAAGTTTTAGGAGTCTGGACCTCTTTCTTTGGTGGGACCACCTCAGCTTTTGTTTTGGCTGCTTCTTCTTCTAGCTGGACCTTCTCTCTTTCAGCTGC